TGAGTTGCAGGGTGCTGATGCTCTGTAAAGGGAACAGGCCCACTGGGTATGAAGGGGATCCTCTTCCTGGGAAATATCCTGTGTGCTAAGATGGCAGTGCTTCTTCATGAGGATTCCAAGATCCCCACCTTGTTTGGGGTCCTGCCTGACTCTGACACCTTCAGAAATGCTACCAAGAAAATCAACCCTTGGTAAGTGTACCTTGGTGCTTCCTCTGAGGCAGTTTCCTGGATGTGCTGACCTACACCAGCTTAGCTGACTGAGGAGTCAGTGTGGGGCAGTGGTTAGAGCCATCATCTCCAGAGCATTCTTGTGGCAAAGTCCACCAGTGCTATTCACTAGCTTGAGTGGGCTCCTTTACCTCTCTGGACCTTGGTCTTTTTGTCCAGATGGATGGTACTAAATAGTATTGTCCAGAGTCACTGAAGATTTATACCAGCAAGTGGGAAAAATCCAAATGTCTATTGATGGGTGAATGGATAAACAAAATATGATCTGTCCTTGAAGGAAGATCATTCAGCCACAAAAATATATTAAGATTGTCTAGTGATCTGTGCCATAGGTGAAACTTGGAAACATTAGCTAATGGAAAGAAGACAGAAACCAAAGATCACATATTGCATGATTCCATTTACAAGGTATGATCAATTTTTATGGTAAATGTTTAAATCTCAAAATTTATTGCAATAAAGGACACACTGTCATTAATCCCCCTTAAAATACTCCTTTTAGTTTCAAACACATTTATCCTATCATTTTTGCTACTTTCCGAAGCAGTTCTGGAAGTACTTTTTTGTGTCTTTTTGAAGTGTGACCACAAATGTGGTAGGTACTGTCAAGTGCAATCCAACCGAAAAGTAGGCTCATAAAAACATGGTGTGTCCTCATTTATCTTATTCACTAAGATAAATGTGGCTCTGTGCAACTTTTGAATCTTTCCCAAAGTCAAAATGACCATGAAAGGTACATTTTGAACAGATTCAGGACATCAAGGCAGTCACGACAGTACAACTAAAGACATGTGAAGCAGAACTTCAGAATAGCTTCAAAAAAGTGGCAAGAATGATAGGCTATATTATAAGTTACAGGGTTAATTGGAAAGTGTCCTAGTTATCTTGTTGCTGAGACAAAATACCCGACACCCAAAGTTAAAGGAGGAAAGGTTTATAGCAGCTCACAGTTTGTAGAGGGTTCAGTCCATAGTCGGCTGGCTCCAAAGCAGGGTGGCATGGCAGAGGGGCATCGCAGATGACAACCAGGTTGTGGTGGGCAGAAGGCAGCCAAGCATTGAAGTAGTGAAGAACCAGCAACAGCAGCCTGCCTCTCCCTTTTATCCCTTCCAGATTACCTGCCTTTCGGGTGGTGCCACCCACACTCAGGGAGGGCCTTCCCATTATCCACAACCAGAGCTACGCCAAACCAATCAGTGGACTAATTTAGTAATCACACACTCTTAATCCCAGCATCACACACTCTAGATCCAGCCATCTCCTAAAAGCCTTACCTATGACCACATGAGGCTTTGGGGGGACATCTAGACACAAGTCATAACAGAGGAGAATTAATGGCAATGTTTTTTCCTGTACTAACTTTTGTTAAAAATAAAAAAAAATTCATTTTATTTTTAATCATACTGCATAAGACACATTCAGAATAGGCAAATTTATAGAGACAGAAATAGATTAATGGTTGCCTAGGGCTTGGGGGTGGGCAGGACTGCTAATGGGTAAGAGATTTCCTTGTGGGATGGTGAAACACTCTGGAATTATAGTGCTGATTATTATATAATTTTTCAGATAAAGATCTATGAATCATGCATATTAAAAGGAGCAAATTTAATACTGTATCTATATCTCAATGAGAACATAAAACAAAAATGAATTAGGAATAAATACAAAAATTCATTTACAAACATACCACACAGTGCTACTTTGTCGGTGGTGTAGAGAAAGAGGTTTTCCCTCTACTTTGTATTTCTGTAACTTGGCTCTGCAAATTAAACTCACAATGGCCCATTTGCAGAAGAAAAGACACACACACAGTCTGTTTAATTTTCACAAGCATGGAGACCTTCATGAAAGGAGTGAAGACTCAGAGGCAGTTAAACCCAAGGACTCATGTGTCATTTTAACAAAGGACTATGGATCTGGGAGACACAACAAGAGAAAGGAGGCTAGTTTCCTCCTGCTGACCCATCTGGTACTGCCTTCGGGCTCAGTGCTAAGAGTTGTTCCCTGCCTGGTCCAGGGGTAGAGAGGAGAAGCCCCTTTACAAAGGACACTTCTGTCCTGCTTCTAGGCAGACAGGGATGGTAAAGAGCTCTTCCTGCCTGAGTGCTTTCTTAATTTGCCTTTAGCTTAAAGAAATCCTAATGTAAAAGGGGCATATTTTGGGGTGGCACTTGCTGGGGATATGTACCCATATGTACCCATAGGATTATGAATGCATTATGAAACACTTTTATAGTGATGTACTATGTAGTCATGAATAAGACCTTATTTAGGAAAGTGGCTTTTTAATCAAATGAGTACTCAGGACAGTGTGTGGCACATAGTAAGTGACTTTTTGGGGGTTGACTCTATTATTGAACCCCAGGATAACTCTGCAATGTCAACCCTTTCATCCCCACTATGGCAGACAAGGAAATCAAGACACAGAGGGGATGGGACGTGGGTGCACTGCCCTCCCTCTGGCTTGCTTCCGGCAAGGGCAGAGTCTGGGCTTCCGGTTACTTGGGTGTCCTTCCTGACTCTACTGCTTGCTGGCTGTGAGGCTGTGCTCCAGGCTAGCGCCACACCTCTCTGAGCCACTGTTGGCTTGTGTCTGCCTATGGAAGGGAGGAGGAATTTCTGAGGATTCAGCCACCATGAGACCCAGCTGGTCCCACTGTTGCTGTTTCTGGGACCAGGTTCAGGTGGCAGAACTGGGACCAGATAGGTGGAAACCCCAGACAGACAGTGCTATACTTTGGATTAGTGTTCTCCAAAGGAGGTGGGGCCTATTGGAAGAAAGTTAGATCATTGGGTGCATGGTCCTGAAGGTGGCTTCTGAAGGTGGGTCCTGTTATAACGTGGGCCCCGGTATAAAGTCCACGGAAACAAGAGTCCAAAACTTAAGTGGCAAAGGCTTTATTGAGCCAGTCCTGGCGGCACAGTCTCTCCTAGATCAAACCAAAGACTGCGCGCCCAAGACTGGGGAAAGGGGTTTTTAAAAGTAAGGGAAAGTGGGGAGGAAACCTGTAAGGCCATTAAACCTGTTGACCCGCATCTGGAAACTGTATTGCTGTCCACTTAGCTCTGACAGTCCCGGGAGTTCCTGGTGTTGCTCAAATTACTCCCATCCTGCAGACTGACATTATCTCAGAGTGGCACATCTGCAGCAATATTTGGGGAAGAAAGTGGAGAGTTAATTATCCTAGGACAGCTTGTCTTTGCCAGTGAGTGCGAAGGGGTCACGAGTTATGAGATGCTGGAACTTAAGTTTTACAAAGATCTGATATCTAACCCATTGGTACATACAGAACAAAAGGAAAGCACCGATCGGGGTTTGGGCCACAGTATTTCCCGGTAATTTCTTTGAAGCTAAACAGTTCTTAAAATTGGGGCAGGCTCATTTTATGACAGATCATCACCAGGTCGGGGAGAGGTCACCAGAAACCCAAATTCTTTATGGCCCAGATAGGTGGGTGGGGGGAGGCAATAAGGCGCGCTACAGAACAGGAAAACGGCGAGTATCTATCTTGTGGGAAGAGTAACTAAGGTTAGGTAAAAAGGTTAAACTCATGGGCAAATCTCCCTGCATATAAACACACTACTTCAAACAATGTGTAAATTAGTGGGCCTTCTTGTCTTTTTTAGTTCTTTAGCGAAGACTAGAGGCGCCTACCCGTGATTAACAGCCCTTGTTAGCTTGTTTTAGCACCACTCTTCTTGTTTGTAGAGGGCCGCTCCGTGATTAACATTTTAATTAAGTGAAATTCTTGCAATTCTTTACAGGGGAGAGTATTGCTCAACATATCAATTGGGTCACTTAACATATCAGTTAAGAAAAGAAAACATTTAGTAAGCCGCGGTACAGGTTTGCTATAATACACAAAATGATGAAGCTACTTTTTTAGAGTACAACATTCCCCTCTGATGTTGTGACTTCTGGGCCAAATCCTTGGCCGTACTTAAGGTCTGCTGGGGACAAGCTCATACGCTTGTTGCCTGACCATCATTAATTTTATACTTTGTACCTGACGCTTGACATATGCAGTCAGCCTATTTACTATGCAGGGGCCCAAAGTGGCTAGCACTAGAATCACAATGATAGGACCGGCTACGGTCGCTATTATGTTGGTTATCCACGGTGGGAAGGAGAACATTTGCTCCGCCCACCCTAGAGCTCCTTGTCTTAGTCTCTCTCTTTCTTGTATGCCTCTTTGGAGTTCCGCTAAGTTTTGTCTAACTACCCCAGACTTATTGGCGTACAAGCAGCATTGCTCTCCCAGGGCCAAGCACAGTCCTCCTTTTTCAGCAAGCAAGAGGTCTAGTCCTCTGCGATTTTGGAGAGCTACTTCAGCTAATGAGTCCATTGAACTCTCTAAGGCCTTAATAGCATTTTGGACTCTTTTTATTTTTTCATCTACCTGTTGAGATAGCATATTGTATTGGTGTATGCTAACTCCCATGGACGCAGCACTCATCCCGAGGGCTGAGAATACACTGATCCCAGCCATAATAGGGAGGGCTGGACTTCTCTTATTGATCTGGTGACTGGCTGAGATGAGAGCCCGGTTCCCTTCTTCCTCGGAGTGCCAGTAGATTCTAGGCAGAACCTGGGTTAGTACACACACCTCATCCTGGTCAACAACGAACTTTTTTGAAATCATACAAGGGAACCATCCTGAAGTACAAGCCCACCAATGGCTGGCCGGGGCTATTAGGGGAGTAGCGTCACCAGCTCCTGTGATGCGATAAGAGTGAGAAAGGTCGCAATACTCAGGGGCTGTGTGGCTAAAATGATATATGCAGGTACCAGTTATCCCCTCTAAACTGGTGCCTTTCCATAGCGATTGGGGAAGGAGCATTTTGCATCTAGAGGGATCGGAGGCTAGTTTATCAGTGACCGTGATGTAGCCCTCATAGAAGGGGGGCTCTGGGGACATGCACAGCCAGCATGGGATTTTTAAATCGCTATCAAGGGAACTGTTAAGTAGCTCAGCTGCTACTTCCAAAGGTTGGAATATTTCCGCTATCATTGAAGGTGGGGCGGAGGCTTTGGGCTCAGTCTGTGCCCGTCTAGACCTTCTCAAACCAGTTTTTGTAGCCCTCGTTGAAGGTTGCATCGAGGTTGGATCGAGGCTAGGCACTCTAATCTCTATCCAGTACGGGATGCCCCCTTCCCCCCTCCATTTACACAGCTTTATCTGGGGCTGGTCTGTGTGGTAAATGCTCCCATTGTATGTGGCCTCAGTCACTTTAGTCGTCGGAGTGTGCCTCCGGGGTCGACTGAGTGGGAAATTAATGGGTGCCTTCTGAGTGGGGGCTGTCACTGGGCGGCGTCCTCTCCTGTAAATGACTACAGGAGGCTTTCTAGGTGGCTTGTATAAGATATTGATACTAATTCCAGGATCATGTCCAGATTTATAAATTTTAACAGCGTAAGTAAGTCCCTGCCCCAGCCACCTAAAATCTGTTGGATTTAGAAAGGTCAGCTGGACTGGGTTACAAGTATAAACACCATAACAGTTTTTGTTTCCTATGTACTTGACAGCGAGATACTTTTTAGAGTTATAGTATCCATCTAGGCCTCCTGTGACACATGACCACGAATAACAATATTGATGTTTTGGATCGGAGGCACAGTACACATTATAATTGGGGTCAGGCTGGTTTTTAGGACATACATATAGGGATGCCTGCTTGAGTTGGAACATAACTTGCAGAGCTTTAGGCCCACGGCCCGAGCAGAGGTTACGGTGGACCGACCCACCTACCCTGCCAGTTGGGCTGTCATCATTAATTATTATCCCATTGAAAAGTATACATAGGTCAATGGTGACTTGATTTATCGTGCCTTTAGCTCTCCCTAGTTCCCTTTTAGTTTTCTCGTCTGAAACAATCCAGTCCCCATTCCCGGGGTTTACAATTATAATCGAGCACCAAGCCAAATACCATAGTACAGACATAATTTTATGGCTGAGAGTCCTTTACAAACTTTAACTTTAATGGGTTACCAGTCCGTTGTACTGTCCATCGGGGACCCTTTTTGTCGTCTGTAGCTTCCAGTGGTTTGACTTGTGTGTGGTGGATCCACGCAGTCTTTCCTGCTACCTTGACGGAGGTGGGAGTGCTGAGCACCACGGTGAACGGTCCCTCCCAGCGCGGCTCAAGCGAATCCCGGTGGTGTCGTCGCACCAGGACCGACGTTCCTGGCTCAATTGACGCTTGGGGCAGCGTTCCCAAGGGGGGGTTCGGATGTTTTTGTCTGAACAGCCGGTGAATTGAGGTCAGTACAGGCTGGAGACTCTGTAAGGACTTAATGAGATCTTGGTTAGTTACTTCGGCTAATTTGTCTTCTGACAACTTAGGAACTATAGGTGGGGGTCTCCCGAACATAGCCTCAAAGGGGGAGATCCCAGAAATATATGGGGTGCATCTGGCCCTCAGCAATGCAAAGGGAAGAAGGCTCACCCAATTGTCACCAGTTTCTAAAGACAGCTTAGTCAAAGCGTCCTTAATGGTCCGGTTTATGCGCTCTACTTGTCCCGAGCTTTGTGGCCGATAGGCACAATGGAGTTTCCAACTGATTTTCAATACTTGGGCTAACTTTTGAGTAACTTGGGCTATAAAAGCCGGGCCATTGTCGGACCCCATTGATAATGGGAGGCCAAATCGGGGTATAATCTCATGTAGTAGCTTTTTAACTATAACCAGGGCTGACTCAGACTTAGTGGGGAAGGCCTCTACCCAGCCAGTGAATGTGTCTACCATCACCAGGAGATAGCGGTGTCCCTGCAAGCCAGGTTTTACCATATCCGTGAAGTCCACTTCCCAGTGTTCTCCTGGGGAGGTTCCTCGATACCGGGTGGTTTCCAGTGGAGGTTTCCTGGTTGGGTTGACCAACAAACACTGTGGACATCTAGAGCTCAGAGAGGCAGTTAGTTTGGAGAGCTTTGGAATGAAAAATCGATCTCTGAACAATTCTGCTAGTTTAGTTCCTCCTAAATGAGTAGCCTGATGAGCTTGCTGCAAAAGCTCTCGTCCTAGTGCTTCGGGTAACAGCACTCGCTTGTCGGGCAGCTGATACCAGCCCCCTGGAGTGCGGGGTTTGGCTCCAAGTTGAGATGCTAGCTGTAAATCTGTCTTCGAATAAACAGGCTCTGACAAGGCTTGAGGGACTAGCATCAGGGCAGTCATTTCCTCTGCAGGCCCCTCTGATGTGGTTGCTATTTTTCGGGCAGCCTGATCGGCCAAATTGTTTCCTATGATGATGGGGTCATCTCCCACTTGGTGTGCCTTGCAATGAATAATAGCGACTTGCTGAGGTAGCCAGACAGCTGCTAGCAAGTCTAGGATCTGTGGGGCATTTTTAATCTTAGTCCCGGCCGAGGTCAAGAGACCGCGTTCATGGTAAATAGCTCCATGTACATGTACAGTAGCAAAAGCATATCTGCTGTCTGTGTAGATGTTTATCCTCTTTTCTGAGGCTAGCTTTAATGCCTCTGTCAGAGCAATGAGCTCTGCCTTTTGGGCAGAAGTGCCAGGCTCTAACTGCTTAGCCCAGAGTACCTCTTTCTCGGTGGTCACTGCTGCGCCGGCCACTCGCCTCCCGTCCTGAATGAAACTGCTTCCGTCGGTGAAATAATTGTAAGCGTCCTTAAAAGGCTGGTCGGTTAGATCAGCTCGCAAGTTCTGCTGTAACTCGAGAATGTCAGCACACTCATGGAGAGGCATCTGTTGGTTTTCTGGGTTATCGTCGGGCATGAGAGTGGCTGGGTTTAGAGCTGAGGAGGTCTTGAAAACTACTGATTCTGGGTCTAGAAGCAAGGCCTGATAGTGTAGAATTCTGGCATTTGAAAGCCATTTTTCTGGGGGGGTTTTAATAAGAGTCTCTAGGCTGTGGGAGGTTACCACAGAAATCTTTTGTCCAAAAGTGAGCTTCTTAGCCTCTTTGAGTAGCATTGCCACAGCGGCCAAAATTCTCAGGCACGGAGGCCACCCTCCTGCCACTGGGTCGAGTCTTTTAGAAAGATAGGCTATAGGTCTCTTCCAAGGGCCAATATCTTGAGTCAGAACCCCTTTTGCTATGCCTCTGAGTTCATCTACGAACAAGGTGAAGGGTTTAGTAACATCAGGGAGCCCCAGGGCTGGAGCCTCAGTCAGAGCTCGCTTGAGCTGTTGGAAAGCCTGCTCGCACTCATCTGTCCAGTCGAGCGACTTTTGAGTCTCTCCCTTTAAAGAGTCATACAATGGGCGAGCGATTTCAGTAAAGTTTAGAATCCATAGTCTGCAGTATCCGACAGCTCCCAGAAACTCCCGCACCTGTTTCTTAGTTTCTGGGGATGGGATTTGTAATATGGCCTGGATTCTTTCTTTTGATAAAGTCCTCTTTCCTTCTTGTAATTTATAGCCCAGGTAAGTCACGGCCTGGCGACACAGTTGAGCCTTTTTAGCCGAGACTTTATAGCCTAATCGTCCCAAAGTCTTTAACAACTCCTCAGTTGCCTCTTGACATGTTTCTAGGGACGTTGAGGCTATCAACAAATCATCTACATATTGAAGGAGCACTATCTCGGGGTGTTCCTCTCTAAATCCTAAGAGATCTCTTGCTAACGCCTCGTCAAAAAGGGTGGGAGAGTTCTTGTAGCCCTGAGGTAAACGTGTCCAGGTCAGCTGTTCCTTTACCCCTGTATCTGGGTCAGTCCACTCGAAGGCAAATAGGGGTTGACTCACCGGAGCAAGAGGCAGGGTGAAGAAGGCATCCTTCAAGTCCAGGACAGAGTACCAGGTGTTCTCCGGATTAAGGAGGCTGAGCAGGGTGTAAGGATTTGGCACTGTTGGGTGTAGAGTCAGCACTCGTCTATTAACCTCTCGGAGATCCTGTACAGGGCGATAGTCATTCGTCCCCGGTTTCTGAACTGGGAGCAAGGGCGAGTTCCAGGGAGAGACACAAGGAATGAGAATATTATTGTCTCTTAGTCTCTGTATGTGGACTTTAATTCCTTTCCGGGCTTGCAGGCTTATTGGGTATTGCCTTAAGCAGATGGGGCGTGCCTGAGGCAAGAGTTCTACCACATGGGGGACTTGGTTGACTGCTAGCCCTGGAGGGTTGTTTTCTGCCCAGACTTCTGGAATCTCCTGTTTCCATTTGTTCAGCAGTTCTAATTCTAAGTCAGTCCGTGACAACTCGGGTGCACCAGACAAACTTCCCAGCAGGCGGTAACTTTCTCCTTCTGGGACAAGAGCCAACACTCTAATACCCTCTGATTTTGAGGGGGTATCAGTCCCTAGCTTCAGTCTAGGTTCATTCGTAACAAAGTCAATTTGCACCTGTAATTTATGTAGAAGGTCCCGCCCTAAAAGGGGATCCGGGCACTCAGGGACCCAGAGAAAATCATGTTGGACCAGTCTATGTCCAGGTCGAGCCAGACTAGCTGTCACCTTTGGGTACGATTTTCGGCCCCCTGTAGCTCCTATCACATTGACAGATTGCTTGGTCAGTTTTCCTAATGGTTGAGTCAGCACAGAATAGGTAGCTCCTGTATCGACTAGGAAGTCCACCGGTTGCCCCCCCACTTGGAGAGTTATCCGGGGCTCGGGGGGTGGCGGCGAGCCCTGACCTCCTCATTTCTGAGACAACAGGGCCTTAGTCTCTCGTTCTGTCTTAGGCTTTAACTTTGGACAATCCTTACGCCAATGTCCCATCTCCTTACAGTACGCACATTGCTCTTTGTCTAGAGGAGGTCGCTTACCTCGAGCTTCCTTTTTCCTAGGGTTAGCTGACCTCTTGGCTTTTTTTTCGCAAAGTAATTCCAGTACTTTAGTCATCCTTTTGGTTGTTGTTTCTTGCAAGGTTTCCCTATTGTTGAAAACCTTTTGTGCGACCTCGACCAACTGGCTGAGAGGCATTCCCTCGAATCCCTCAAGCTTTTGTAACTTTCTCCTAATATCAGGGGCCGACTGGGACACGAAAGCAATATTAATTGCTCGTGCGTTCTCGGGTGCCATCGGATTGATTGGAGTATATAATCTATAGGTCTCTAAAAGGCGCTCTAAGAACACCGCTGGAGACTCATCGGCTAACTGCTGCACTGCACTCACTCGGGAAAGGTTGGTGGGCTTCTTAGCAGCCGCACGAAGTGCATCTAAGAGCCTCAGGCGATACTCATCGAGAGCCTTCTTACCTGCATCCGTGTTAGGGTCCCACTCGGGTCGGGAGGAGGGGAACAAGTGCTCAATTCGTTGCCGATCAGTGGATGGAGATCCATCCGGTTCTCGGACTCCCTTTTGCCCCAAAGCGCAGATTCGCATCCTTTCCTCAGCCGTGAAAAGGATGCGTAAGATCTGCTGGCAGTCATCCCAAGTGGGAAGGTGGGTGGAGAAAACAGACTCTATAAGGCTAATCAGAGATTCTGGGTCCTTCGAGAAAGGGGGGTTCTGACTTTTCCAGTTATAGAGGTCAGAGAAAGAAAAGGGGGTGTACACAAACATGGAGCCCCCACTCGGGGCTGGGACCTCCCGCAGAGGACACAGTGGCGCTGCCTCGTGGCCCTGTTCCAGAGGTCCCTCTGGTCGAGCGTGGCGGCGGGTTCGAATGGGCCGAGGCGGGGAGGGCGAGGTGGAGTCAGGTTGTGGCTCAGGGGCAGGATACGGGGGAGGGGGTAAGGGAAGGATGTCTAGCGGGTCGGAGAAGTCTTCGCTCGGAGGTAAGACTGGAGGTGCGTTGGGCTTGGAGGTCTCCTCTTCAGCCTTGGATTTCGGTTTGAGGGCTGCTAGGACTCCATTCGGAAGTGGCTCAATCCAAGGGGGAGCATCATAGATTGTATCTATCCAAGCCTGGATATAGACAATCTGATCGGGGTGAGCGGGGGGCCCAAATACATACTGGCGGACCGCTCGAGCTGTCTCCATATCAAAGGACCCAAAAGGGGGCCAGACTCCTTGGGTCCCCAGGGGCCACTCCTGTGTGACAAAGGTTGTTAGTCTGGCTTTGCGAACCCTTTCCCCATATCTCCCACCTCGCCTCTGGAATTCTTTAAAGTGGTCAATGACAAGGCTAAGGGGAGTGCTGGGAACAGATTCGTTCCGACCCATAATGGACTCGTTCTGACCCATAGCTGGTGGTGTCGCTGGTTTTGCTGGAAAAAAAACTTAAAAGGCAAAGTTAGGGTTAAACAGAAAAACTACAGAGACTAGGCAAACGGTCGGAATCACCTTTGCCCACTCCGAATTCCAGGAAGGAGCTCCTAAGAAAGAAGGCTCTGTTAGAGTTAGGTGACCAAAAAGGGGAACAATTAGAACAAATGAACACACAGACCGACACACAAGACGAGACAGGACAAGACAAGCTGCAGCAGAATGGCCTTTGCTCAAAAATTAGTCAAATTTTGGGATCTGGAGGAATTAACAAATTTAACTAATGAAGTGGTTCCCCACCCAGGCGGAGTCACAAATGGCAAAAACCAATTGACTTCATCCTCGGGGGCTTCACTTCCCAAATTAAGGGCGTCCCCTTCCGAACGGAGTGGTTCCTCACCCGGGGCAGATTCACAGATGGACAGAATTTGTCCGACAAACCAACTGACTCTGTCCTCGGGTGGTTCCCACTCCCAAATTGAGGGCGTCCCCTCAAAATTACAAATTGACCGCGGCCCAAACAAAACCTCCAGAGCACTTACTTTCAGATGTTCGGAAATGAGTCTGGAGTCTTGCTTCCATCCAGGGCGAGCCCCCAAATGTTATAACGTGGGCCCCGGTATAAAGTCCACGGAAACAAGAGTCCAAAACTTAAGTGGCAAAGGCTTTATTGAGCCAGTCCTGGCGGCACAGTCTCTCCTAGATCAAACCAAAGACTGCGCGCCCAAGACTGGGGAAAGGGGTTTTTAAAAGTAAGGGAAAGTGGGGAGGAAACCTGTAAGGCCATTAAACCTGTTGACCCGCATCTGGAAACTGTATTGCTGTCCACTTAGCTCTGACAGTCCCGGGAGTTCCTGGTGTTGCTCAAATTACTCCCATCCTGCAGACTGACATTATCTCAGAGTGGCACATCTGCAGCAATATTTGGGGAAGAAAGTGGAGAGTTAATTATCCTAGGACAGCTTGTCTTTGCCAGTGAGTGCGAAGGGGTCACGAGTTATGAGATGCTGGAACTTAAGTTTTACAAAGATCTGATATCTAACCCATTGGTACATACAGAACAAAAGGAAAGCACCGATCGGGGTTTGGGCCACAGTATTTCCCGGTAATTTCTTTGAAGCTAAACAGTTCTTAAAATTGGGGCAGGCTCATTTTATGACAGATCATCACCAGGTCGGGGAGAGGTCACCAGAAACCCAAATTCTTTATGGCCCAGATAGGTGGGTGGGGGGAGGCAATAAGGCGCGCTACAGAACAGGAAAACGGCGAGTATCTATCTTGTGGGAAGAGTAACTAAGGTTAGGTAAAAAGGTTAAACTCATGGGCAAATCTCCCTGCATATAAACACACTACTTCAAACAATGTGTAAATTAGTGGGCCTTCTTGTCTTCTTTAGTTCTTTAGCGAAGACTAGAGGCGCCTACCCGTGATTAACAGCCCTTGTTAGCTTGTTTTAGCACCACTCTTCTTGTTTGTAGAGGGCCGCTCCGTGATTAACATTTTAATTAAGTGAAATTCTTGCAATTCTTTACAGGGGAGAGTATTGCTCAACATATCAATTGGGTCACTTAACATATCAGTTAAGAAAAGAAAACATTTAGTAAGCCGCGGTACAGGTTTGCTATAATACACAAAATGATGAAGCTACTTTTTTAGAGTACAACAGGTCCCCAGCCCCTCCTCTTCTCTCTCATTCCGTTTCTCAGCAGCTTCCTCCACAGGTGCTTCTACTACGGTGTGCTGCCTCAGCACAGGTCCAAAACAGTGGCCCAACTGATCATGAAACCATTACAACTGAGCCAAAACAAACCTCCCCCACCCTTTTTGGGGCGTTTCACTATGTAGTCTATGTTGGCTTCGAACTTGTGGTGATGCTCCTTCTTGTCTCAACCTCTCGGGTGCTGGGATTACCTTCCCTCATTTTAAAATTGATAATCTCAAGATTTTGTTACAGTAACAGAAAGATGACTGACACAGATGGGATCACTTTTATAGTCCCACCTTTCCAGAGGTAGTGAGCCACTGAGGAGGGAAAGAGCATCCCCCAGGGCACCATCAGGAGGAGCAATGCAAGTCAAGGCCAAGGACTTGGTCTTTCTTCTGTCAGTCCTTACTCCATTCACTGTCCTCAGATCCTTTTTTAACAGACTGCCCTTAGGAAAGGCATTGCACCGCCTCAGGCCTCAGTTTCCCTGGGCCAGTGCAGCGCGGTAGCTATGATGAATACTTTTGGACAGAGATGGCCTGGGTGCAACCCTTGCTTCCCTTCTATTGTTTTCTGATCACCTGACCCTGGGTAGAGACGTTCACTTCCCCGAGCCTGTTTCCCCTCTGCAAAGCGGAGATAGTCACTCATCTTGCTTCTCCTTGTAAGGATGAGGGCCTCAGTGCAAGGGCTGGGCCGTGCCGCCCATTGGCTGCCATTCTTACCACTATTGCTACATTAGCTTTAAAGGCCTTGGGGGCAAGTGTGTGCCTAGAAGCCAGGGGCTGCTACCCAGCCTGCAGTACTCCTGGCTTCCCCAGCAAGTGATCGACAGGCTGGGCTGGTGGCGTCCTGGCAGGCCTGTCCTGGCAGCTGCTCCCACAAGGCGAGGCCCTGGGAGCTTTGGAGAATTAATTAGGCTGCATTCCTCTTCCTGGGCTCCCAGCGGGCCCGCACATGGCCCCTTCTGAGCTGCCGAGGGCTCTTGGCTCCAATCCCTGGCAGGCCAAGGCAAGGCCCACACTCTGCTCTCCACTGAGAGGGGCTGGGGCCCCCTTTGAGCCAGAAGCCCTGGCCTGGGCAGGGCCCAGTGATCAGCCAGAAGCTCGAGGCCAGCTCCTCTCCTGGCCTTCCCTTGCTCAGCAAGCTTCACTAGCTCCCATCTCTCAGGCTCAGATTCCTGGACCTGTGCACTATTCCCAGGCTGGCCCTGGCTGCTTTTGCCAGCTTCCTCACCCTGGACTCTCCTGGCCAGTCACCCTGGCATGGCTCCTTCAGCTGGGATGCTATTCCTCATCCAGGAGCATGCAAACCCCAGCCACCCTTAACTACCTACCACCAGCCAGCAGGAGGCTCCCAGCCTACTCCACCTGCTGCATTTCTCTGTCTGTCTGTTTTTCCTGCCAGCCTAGGGGACTCCAAGAGCAGCTGTGTTGGGGCCAGAGGTGCACAGCGCTGATGGTGGGGGGCATTTCCAGCACAGTGGGATGACAGTTGCTGTAGGTGTCCCCTGCCTGGGGCACCTCCCCAGGGCAGGAGCCAGGGGCTCACACTGCCCATTCCTCCCTGGCCCACCTGACCTTTCTTGGCTCCCCGCTCCTTTCAGGGTTCGGTTCACCCATGCTCTTCCTTCTGCCTGGAACGCTCTTATTCATCTTTCTGCACTTAACCAACTACCCTGAAGCTCGGCTTACCTGCCACTTCCCCTAGGCAACCTCCTGGTTGTCCCTTTCCCAAGGGCCACTTCTCGATGTGATTGTCCCCTAAAAGTTAAAAGCTTGGGTTTTAAATTCCAGTTTAGACATTGTTTAGACTGTGTGATTGTGAAAAAGATACTGAATCTCTCTGAGTCTCAGTTCTCTTGTCTCATTATTTGTTTTCTTAGGAGACAGGTCTTGCTATGCTGCCCAGGCTGGTATTGATCTCCTGGGCTGAAGCGATTCTCTTCCCTTATCATCCCCAGTATCAGGGGCTACAGGTGTGTACCACCACACCCAACCTACCATTTATTTCATCTATGGAATGGGAATAATAATATTGTCCACAGTACAGGGTTGCTGCAAGGAGGTAATAGGCGGAAAGCATGGTAAGCTCTCAATAAACAGGTGTCTTGGAGTTTATCTTCTTATTCAGCTGTTTTCTTAAATGGCCCTTCTCTTAGCCTGCAAAAGTCTGTCTCCCACAGAAGCAATTATTTATCACTGTTGATTGAATGGATGGCTGTGTTCCAGGAATTTATGGCTTTAATAGGCAAATGATATCTGAACTGACCTTCGACTCTATTCAGAGAAAGACAGAGACAGAGAGACAGAATATTCTTGGTGCTCGTTATTTGATGAGGGGCATGCAGACTGACCAAGAACCCAGCCTGACTCTGGGGCTGGATGTGCTCCATGCTGCCAGACCTGGAACCCAGCTTCTTCTGCATATGTAATCCAGATAAATCAGAGTCATTCCCTTAGAGTCTGTCTTTGCCCAGGACACCAATGGAAGGAACAAGAACTTGACTGAAAGAGGCTTGGAAGGAACTTAAGTACTAACTGAAAAGCCAGGGAAAGGGGAGATTTTTGTTCCACACGACCCAAACTTGCTTCCGAGGGCTGCACTGCACCTGGCAATGGGTCTTCACACTGTTTTCTCTGCTTTGTCCTGAAGTCTGGTTCCCTAGTCCCACTGTCCCTTGCTACCAGGTCTCCACTGGTCTTCACTGCCTGGAATGTGGTCTTAAAGCAGACTCTGGACACACTGACCCTTGGCTACGCAAATTGTTTGTCCTGTGAACAGAGGTGGGCTGGAGGAGGCCAGAGCAGGGACCCTGCAGTGTGGGGTCCATTTCCCAGAACTGCAGACCTCAGGCCCTGGATGTCACCCGTGCCTGCACCTGCCTCCTCTCTTCTCTGTAATCATCATCACTGCTCAGTTACTTAGGTCACCAACCTCTGAACCCTAAACAGGTGCTGGAGGCTGTGCCAAGATCCATGAGTACCTGCTTCCCAAGGCCTACTGCACACTCTCACCAGGATCCTCACAACTAGGTCAAACCTCCTGCCATATGTGGCCCTGGGGCTGCCAAGGCAGGTCATGGGCTGGCTGTTTTGGGGTTTCCAAGGAGAAGGGACCCCTTTGAATGGGATGTTTTGATGCCAGGGAGTGACACCTCCTTCATCATCAGACTCAGCTGAAGGATGAGGGTGTGTTTTGGTCCTGGGCTGGGGTGGGCAGGAAGGAGCTGGCCCAGCCCCATTGCATCAGACCAGGGTGGGATGTGACTTTTTCCTGGTGCCGGACTCCTCATTCACTCTTAGCCCATTCCTAGCTCCCAGAGCCTATTTCCAAAGCCCAGCTTGGACCTTTCATAGCTCCCTGTGGCCTGCCACAGAAAGTCCAGTTCCTCACCTTGTGGGGCCTCTCTGTCTTCATCTCCCACTATTCTTCTGGCTTTTCCTCTGGCCGTGAGGGCCTCTTTCAGAGGAGGCTCCTCTGCCACTCCTGCTCACTGTTCTTCCCATAGTCAGGGATCCCTCCCTATTTTCTCTCTCCTTATTTGAGCCTTGCTCATGTTTTGAGGTGACAATAGTGCAATCTTTGTGCAGCATCCTTTCTCTGCCCGGTGGCAGACCCCAGTCTCTCCCTCCCTGCAGGTCCCTTGGTTCTGTCCCTGTCCTGTATATTACATAATCACGACTCCCAGTCTTGCAGACAGCCTCTGCTTCTCTTCAGGCTCAGCCTAGCACTATAACTTACCTGCTCAGTAACTGCACCAGGCCTCTGAGTTCCTTACCATTTTCTAGTTGAAAAAAAAAAAAAAAAACTGAGGCTCAGAAAAGAGATTTGCTCAAGAGCAAGCTGTGGTGATGATTGGGGAATTCAATCAGCAAACATTTATGATGTACAAACATAAAGCAGATCTTGAAGCCAGAAGAGCTAGGTTCCACTGCTGACACCACCCACTTATTGTTGCGAAGTCTGAAGAAAACCATTTGCCTCCCCTGTGTATCAGTTTCCTCATCTGTAAAATGAGGAAAATAAAAGTACCTGAATCACAGAACTACTGTGAGGATGAAATGAGCTAATCTGATAAAGTGCACAGCCTGCGAGTATACAGTAAGAGCTCAACGCATGTTAACATGTTATTCTTCCAGGACTGGTTTTATGGACAAGGCAGGGTGAGGGAAGTGTGTAAATAATTATTGGTTAGTCCATAAATATTTCCCAAGCACTGGCTCAAGTCATGGCTTGCCACTTCAGGATAGGCCATCCATGGGAAAGGGGCATGGCCTGCTCACAGGAGTTGGTTAGGAAGGGGGCTGTGGATTCAGGCAGCTGCCGTCAGGCGTGGTCTTGCCTGTAAGTTGTCCCAGAGACCCCGATGAGCTGTGTCTTAAGTTCCAACAGGACTCATGACCCCAGTGCCAGAGCCCTAGGCTTACGGAGTCTGAGAAGTGTCAAACTCCAGCAGAGCACAGCCCAGCGCCCGAGGTGAAGGGCAGTGCCAGACCACACACAGCCTTAGAACCCACATGGTGCTCTTCCTCCCAGCCAGCCCTGGAAGGGGACAGGGCAGTTGAACAAAAGCGGTTTTCCAATGTGCAATGTGTTCCTTTTTTTTGGTACCAGGGTCGAACTCATAACCTCTTGCTTGCTAGGCAGGCAAGCGAGTTAAATCCCTAGCCTTGAGAAGGACTGGCCTCTGGTTTCTAGCCTGGTGGGAATATAAATCCTACAATGTCATAGCTGCAGATGGCTGTGTAAGGACATGGTAAGGGTAAGTCCAGAGAGGGCAAGTGGACAGCCAAAAAGCCCAGCAAGGGGAAAAGTGGAACATGGGGCTCCAGCCACCAACCCGGGACTCTTTCCTCTGCTCCTGCATCCTTTCCCACTGGCCCTTTCCTGAGAGGAGCCTCCCACCTTTGTTCAGCCCGGGAAAAATACCAGAATATCATTTCTTTGTTTAATACAAACACAAGTTCAGGTAAATAACTGAGGACCCCAAAATACATTAAAATAAATAATTGAGATTCTCCAAGTCCTTAGAGCAAATAAGTTATATACAGATGTGTGAAGCAGAATAGGTTCTTTTCACCAACAAGGTCCCAAGGACGGGGGCGGAGGGAGGGCAAAGGAAGAGGCAGTTAGAGAGGGCAGACAGGGGCCAGCCAGGGTGCATCCAGCATCCAGGACTGGCTTAGAATGAGTGAGCCCTGCTACGTGATGGTTCCTGCATTATAGCCAAACAGACAAGACAGTCCTCAGGACAGGGCCTCAAGTTCACCATTGCTCATGCAGTTCCTTCTAGCAGGGCGGTGGCCAGTAGCCAGCACCAGGGCTGCCCTGCCACCTGGGACTGAGAGTTCTCCTGGGCAGTGTGATGGCATGGAGCTGCCTTGAGCAAAGCTCCCTCTACCAAGACTGGAGGTCAGAGCTTGCACCAACCCCAGCAAATGGGTCTGGGTGGCTAGGCCAGGAGACAGGCGGGAGGATCTCCTAGGAGCTGCCCATCTCCTCCCATCGCAAGGCAGGTGGGCTTCTTTCTCAATATTCCTGTAGCTCGCGGCACTATCTTTTCCTCCGCCTGGAGTGTGCAGGCCTGTGCTCCCTTGTCGCCTCCTGCTGTTGCCTGGCAAAGCGGACTTTGGCGGCAGAAGTGTCCCTGGAGATGGAGAAGAGTCAACTGAGCATCTCAGAAGACACAGACAGTCCAAGAGCTTCCATGGAAGGAAAGAGTAAGGGGGACTAGGGCTGATCTGGGTCACAGGGTGGCCACAGACTGAATGCAAGGTCTGCATGTCAAGGGCAGACCAACCTAGGCCTAGAAGCTGCCCAGGGATGCTTTGAGAAAGCTAATGTGTAAGACTGAAAGCTGCCAGAGTGACTGGACAGCCAAGACAGCCCAGGCAGCACCCATCACCTGCCTGTCCTCTTCACACTTTACACAAATGTCTACTTCTCCCTCACCGGACTATACCTGCTCAGGTTCTGCCCAGTCCTAAAGTGGCTCAGCCCAGACACACTGAACCCAACTGAGCTCCTGGCTGTGATCTTGGCAGTATTCAAGCACGCCCTTCCTGGGCAGAAGGGTACAGGCCCAGGAGCAGAAAGACTGGCTTTAGCCCCTAGCTATTGGAACATGAGCAAGGGGCACAATCTCTCTGAGGCACTTCCTCAGCCTGTGAAATACAAACAGGCCTGAACTGCAGTGCAGACAAGCACATCTTTGGCAAACCAAGTTTTCTGCACACTCTGAACTGTGTCCCAAACACAAAGCGTGTTTGCAGCAGGGCTGGGTTCCAACCAGTCCGCCCCTGCTCCCAAAGCTATATCCTGGGCCACTCTGCTGCATGGTGAGGTTGGGGCTTCTGTTTTTAAGACAGTTAGTTGGACAAAAATCTATGGACATTTCTGGTGCTAAGCCTTGAGATGAACCACACCAAGGCTACCAGGGAGAATTTCCAGTCTGGGCAGTGAAGAGGAAGCAAGCTGGGTAGTTGGCCCCTGTGAGTCCCAGCTCATGGGAAATGCTTGATTCAGTAGAGCCTGAGAGAACAAACTGTGGTCCTTCCCTGAAGCCCTCTAAAACAGTGCACAAACAAGCCCAGAGCTAAGTAAGAGCATGGTAGTTAATAACAGACTCTGGAGTCAGTCAGATATCATTAACATGTGACTTTGGACAAGTGGCTTTGCCTCTCTGATCCTCGATTCTCTTGGAAGGACAAGGAAGACCCAGTCCCGTCTCACATGGAGAATAGAGAAAATGTGCAAGGTGTTCAGGAAGGGCTTGATCAGGGCAGGTGCCTCTCACCTCAGCCTCTGGAGCAGCACGCTGTTGGTGGCCCATGTCTTGCCAGTCTGTAATACGGCTGAAGGGGGCTGGTTGCTTGGGACTGTCGCAGCTTCAGTCCTGAATAAGTGGCAATAGGATCCAAGTAAGAGGTTGTCCAGGGCCCTGAAGCCACCTGGCTGAGGGCCCAGCCCAGCCCCTACCTACCCCACCCGCCTTTGGGAGCAGATCCATTTTCACCCTGTGCACCTGGCATCCTTCCTTTCCTGGGCAGGGTGGGGACTGAGGAAAACTGAGCTACTAGGAATGTGCTCTTAGCCTCCAAAAGAGGCAGCTGGGTGGCTGGTCTTCCCAGAACCCAGCCAGCTGCAGCTGCAGGGGAAACTGAGGCAAGAATGGAGCCATGGCTTGGGGCCCAGAGGGGGAGTTTCTCATAAATGAGCCTGGGAACTGGAGCTTGGCATTAGGAGCCAGTTCCAGCTTTCAAACTGAGTCCAAGTGAAGGAGGGAAGAAACAAAATCTCTACCCTTTTCACAGATGGGAAATCAGAGGCCCAGGAAGGCGAGGGGAATTGGCAAGGCTTTGCTCCTCTCACCCCAGAACAGTGTCATCGCTTTCCAGCTCCACGGTTGATTTTCCTTTGAGTGAGCTCTAAAGTTCCCAAGTGTCACCAAGTATTGGAATCCAAAACACAGTAGGAGCCTTACTAGAGTCCTGTCCCCTCTCTGGGCCTGAGCTGCCTCAGCTTTCACCCCCTGAATGCACCTATCCTGCTCAGGGATGAGGCTATGAATGCTCTTGGAAGCCCCAGAGCTAGCAGAGGGAGGCACTCACGGGTGACAAGTTCCTTAGGCAGGAACACTGCTCATGTTCCAAAGCCACCTATGGGCCTCAGGTCCCTGCTTGCTCCCAACAACCTCTCTGCTGGTCTCCCAGACACACATGCTGCCAGGATAGGCTCCGCCTAGCAGCCCCTCCTGCCCCTGCAAGCTGGGTGTCCACCTACCAGGGTCTTCGATGGCAGAAGGTGGCACAGACAGGATCCCTGGAGCTGGAGCACTCACAGCGCTTTGGCAGGGAGCGGCGCCGGCGTCTTGGCGGGTTTCCCAGGCCGTAAGGAGCTGTCTGTCTGTGGGCGGGCAGCCAGCAAGGTAGTGGTATGGGGCAGAGAGAGAGAGAGAGAGAGAGAGAGAGAGAGATGAAGAGACAGAGACAGAGGCAGAGAGAGACAGAGTGTGTGAGAGGAAGGAAGAGAGAAAGAGAGGAAGAGGATTAGATAAACCATGGCCATTGGTGAGCAGCGGCTGTCTATGCTGCACACTGAGACAGCCAATCATGCTACTGGGGTGTCAGTAAATGGTGACCAGCCTCTGGTCTCAAGAACTCCCACCACTGAAGTCAAAAGTCTTGGCACAAGTGCCCTGGACAATTCCCTGTCCCTCTCTGGTCTCTGAGCGCTGGCTCACAGGGGCTCAGCGATGCTCCCAGCATAGTGAGGAAGAGGTGGTACTTGCAGTCCCACCGGTAGCCAGGAACTGGGAAGCCCTACCAGTCCCTGTCCCCTCCCAGGTAGGAACTGGAGCCCATAGAGTCAGGCTGGTCCTCTTTCTCAAAGAGGCTGCTATCAACCCTGGAGGAAAGAAAGTACCTCCATCTCACAGAAGCAACCACAAAGGCTCACAGCGGAGCTGCCCTACTGGGCACTACTTCCCTGGAGGAGTGGCCAATTCACTTTAGAGCGCTAACTTAAAAATGGGGAGATGTTCTGTGCACGCACATGTGTGTGCATGTATGGGATTGATTTCAGGTTTAATCTACCAAGATGGCTAGGGGCATGGCAAGGTCCCCAAGGCAAGTCGGACCAGCACCTCTGAGTGACAGGGCTAATTTTAGATGGCATAGTGGAGTTGTGGTGACTCCAGGTAGACCCAGCAGGCAGAGACTGGCAGGGTTCCCGCCCTGAGAGTATTTGGATGCAGATTAGCTCCACACATGCTTACGTGCTGGCTTTCTCTTGCCTTATGCAATTTGGGGAAGGAAACACACACACACACACACACACTCTCTTTCTCTCTCTCTCTTAGTTTGAGGTATGCAGAACCCCGGAGGCAGCACGGGTGCAGGCAGAGCAGACAGCACTGGCTCCTGCCAGGGCTCAGTCAGGTAACCCGGCAGGCTTCTCATCAGTCATCTAGGGACAACCTGCCTCATGGGGGACACAGAGGACAATACTGCGCATGCAGGAGTTGGCACAGGCCTGGCACAGTCAAGACACAGGCTTGCTCATTAATTGTATGAGTCTTTCCAGAGGCACCTTGGCCCTGCAAGCACCTGCCCTGACATCCACAAACCTGGGATGCAGCTGACCACTTTCACGTGTGATCCGTCTTAGGGAAGCTACCTAATCACTCTGAGCCTCAGCTCCCTGATCTAGAAAGTGGAGCCAGCACTTCTTACCAGGCTACTTTGAATACTGCATTCATGGGAGGCAGTGTTCTAACTGACTCTGGCAGCTCCTATGAGAGTTGAAGCAATAGCTGGTGTCTATTGTTGTTAGCCCAATGTCTCCATCTACAGACCCAGGGAAAGCTAGATTGGGCCAGAGATTCCCCAGCAAACTGTAGCCTTACACTGCCCCCACCCTTGGAGCTCCCATCTGGGTCCCCACAGAGACTCACCCAGGAGTGTTCACCCAGATGATGTCTAGGTGGCAGAAGTAGACACATTCCTTGTCAAGCCAGGAGCTGCAGGAGCAACGGCGAAACCTCAGGTGGGCACCTCGGGTCCTGGGTGAGAGCCCCGACTGCTTCAGGGTAGAGGTAGCCTGGCCCTTCCCTGCATGCACAGGAAGGAGAGAGAGGTAGAGAGGTGGTCAGGGCCTCCAGCTGGTCGTAGGTAGGGGACCTGCCAGACTCCTCCTACTGGAGGATCAAGGAAGTTGGCACTCTGACTGCTCAGGAGCTCCAGGCCAGCCTGGGAAAACCCTGCAGCACCATGGGAAGGGCCAGCAGCTGCCCCGAGCCCGTGGCTCCCTTGCGTGTGCAGAGCACACACAGCAGTTCCTGCTGGCCCTCCTCGGTGGACTCTAGGGGAGATACCAACGGGAGGACCCAGGGACTGCAGCAGCAGGTGAGGCCGTGCAGGGCAGCTCACCTTCATGCAGGATCATGAGCAGAGCTAGAGCGACCGAGCACCAGGCTGCTGCAAGCATGGAGACCATAGCGGCTGTAGAGGATGGTGCTGAACCGGAGCAGGGAGTGCCTGTTGCCAGCGTCTTGCTGCTAAGCCGAGCTGGTAGCTCATTGCCTCTGTGCCCTGGCTGCCTCTTATAGCACCAGGCACTGTGCCCCGCCCCTGTTGGTCCACCCCACCCGCCTGGCTGCACCTTGGGCCCAGAGCCAGGGACACCGCCTCCTCCCTGATGCCTGGCCCGCCCTAGACTCTGTGGGGAGGGGAAAGGGGGAAGACTCTCCTCCTCTCTCTGTGCCTGAAGCACCTCTGGGAATCCTGAGGCTCCTCTATAGCCTCCAGGGTATCCTCTCATCCCTGCTGGACTTCCCCAAGAGACCCCCAGAGTATCCTGTATCTCTTCTCCTACTCTCCTAGTGCTGCTCTACAAGCCTTGCCAAGAGCTGAGTTTGAGAGGGAAGCCTCACAAGCAAAGCCTTCCCATCTCCTTCCCAGAGATCCCTCCTGCCTGCTCAATGCCAACCAGAAGGAGGGTGCCCCTGCGCTGTGTGGGTGGTGAAAGGCCCATTCAAGGCTGTGTGGCCTTGGGTGAGTCACAGGCCTCTCTGGGCCTTCTTTCCTGAGTGAAGGACATAGCTCACACCTAACCCCCGACTAGCCTTGGCTGTCTCATCCCATCTCTCCCAGGAAGTCCTGCCCACCCCCTCTTCTCCCACCATCTCAGGACCCAGAGCAGGACTCTTCTAGAATCTTTTCAGCTGTACAACTATGGCCAAGGATATCTATCCTGGACCTCAGTTTCCTTATCTGCAAAACAGGCCAAAAGAGAATATTTCCTGCACTGCATGGCTCACAACCTCCACTGAGACAAGGGACGCTCTAGAGTCCTTTCCAGAAAGATGCCCCTGTGAGTCTCCCATGTGGGACAGGACAGGACACCTTGGCTCACTGCAGTGGCAACTTCATGCAGAAGAGGGAGGGGCAGCCAAAGGCAAGGCGGGGGGGGGCACTTGCTGAGGACTAGCATTCAGGTCCCAGTCTGTATTGGCCCAGAAGCTTTGCTGGAGACAGGAACATGGATGCACCGGCACTGAGCTGAGCATCCTGGGGAGCTGGCAGCCACTCTGTGTCTTTCAGGCCGGGCCCAGAGTCCATTTCTGAAGTATCTTCTTGGGAATTTCATCTCTAGGCTAATAGGAATTCCCAGGGCTTCCTGATTCCTAGCATTGAGCTGGTTTCCCAGCACTCTTGAGGGCTGCTGTGACCCTGCACACAGTAGGAGGCCTTCAGTGCTCCCTGCAGGAGGAGAGATGAATCACAACAGGCCTGCTTTTAATGGTGAGGCCAGGCACCCAGTTTCCTTCCTATCCTCAGCATTTAGTAGATATTCATGAGGGAAAACAGGTGACCATAAGGGACGGGCAATTATGCTTCTTCCCAGGGTGTATGCAAGAGCACACTTGTATGTGGGAACCTGGTAAAATGGGGCCGAACCCATAGACGACCAGCTTGTTCCCGTCCTCCTTCCCTTGTGACTGTGGCTGTGCCACTCTGAGAATCCAATCTTGGTCTCTCAAGCAAACCGCAACTGACTCCCCATGTGGGGCACACTGCCCTCTCCCACGTTGCTCCTCTCTAAGAATCCAGAAGAACATTTCTGGAATGAGGTGAGCAATGCTCCCAGTCATTTGTATAGCCTGGGGGCGGGGGCGGGGGGAGGTGGGTCTGAATAGAGACTTAAGCAGAGCTGGGGAGGGAGGCAGGGAGAAGGCAAACTACTGAGGCAGAAAGAGAAGAAAGAAGCAAAATCAGGGCCTGGGTGGAAGGAGGGGGTCAGGGTGGCCAGGAAAACAAACAGGGAGGCAGATAAAGACAAGCAGGGAGAGAGCTGGAGAACAAGGAAGCAGAGCGCAGCTAGCAGGAAAGAAAGATCTCAGATTTGAGAAAGTAAAAGAGAAAGACCATAGGGAGTCAGAGGCACGGTTCTAACGTGTCTAATCTTTACACAAATGCAAAACGCCTGCCTGGGACAATAGGGAACCAGAGGCTGTAAGTCTGGGGAACATAATAGGAGAATTAAAAGGGCCAGGGACAGGCTCCCTCCCGATGACGACAGGGCAGAGGCTGCTGCCCAGGCTTCGACGGGTCAGCGCGGGAGCTGGCTCGGTTTCCATCCTTCCCCACGCTGGGCTCCAGCTGGGTAAAGAGGGCTCTTGTAACACGGAGAGGCCTGCCCCAGGAACCTGAGTGAGAAGGGTCTCAGGGGTGAAGCCTTTCCTGGAACTACCCCACTGCTGGTTTCCAGGTAGAGAAAATTAAGCCGAGTTAAAAATAGCCAGCCCCAGCCCCCTGGATCTCTTAGCTTGGGCCCTGACAGTCATCTTAGCCCTTTCTGGTTGGACTGGTCTACTCTCCGGTATCGTCTCAGTGGCCTGGCTGCATGTCCCTGCCATTTCTATCTGGCCTGTCCCTCTGATCCTACTGCTGTAGCCCCCACCAACTGGCCCTGCTGCCCGTCCTGCTGTACCCCCAAGCCCAGCAGGTGACCCTGCCTCATGCCTGTGTTTCTAAAGCCTGCAGGACACAGAATCACCAAGTGTCATCCCGTCAGAATTCATCAGAATTCGGAGGCAACTGTTTTGCACACAAATGAGGATTCTTCTGTTGGGTGCCAGACCAGTTTGAGAAAGAGAGACTAATGGGGAGGAGAGACTGGCAGAAGAAGAGGGTGGGCAAGGTGTGTTTCTAGGTAAGATGCTAGGAATTGCCTCGTGGAAGTCCTCTCTGGCCTTCGTTCCCGTGTGGTAGATAAGATAACTGGGGTCCTAGAGGAGACACGACTTTGAAATGGTGCTGGGCATGTTCTCTCAGAATCTAAGGTAGCGCCACTCTTCCTACACACCAATGGGACTCGCCCAGGGCCCAACTGTGCCTGGGATTCTGGATCCCCTTGGGAAAAGACCTCAGAGGGACCCCACTGGCAGAAAGGCCCGAGCACTGGTGTGAGCCTGGGCTGTCTCTCTATGTACCTCAAAGCTCTCTTTGTGATCCTGGCACTAAAGGGAAAGATGGTACCATGAAGCAGCCGTCCACCAGCCATGAAGACCATGCAGGTGTCTGGTGCTGCCTCCAAGGCCCTGGACCAAGACACCGTGTCCTAGCTCTGCTGTTGTTGCTGTGTGACCCTTGTCCTTTTCCTGGCCTCAGTCATCCTGCCTTCCCACTGATAGCAAGAGGTGCTTTCAGTTCTGCCTGTGACATTTGAACCCACTTGACCAAGTTTGGAGTTTTAAAGATGGAGGGCCTGGAGACTGGCTGCATGGTCTTTGCTCTCAGTTTGGGGTCTTCTGCTGTCTCACCTCTGAACGCTGGTCATTTCCCCACTGGCTCCCAGCCTCACCAGCTTTAAGGAAGTTCTAGTTGTAACCCTGATGGAAGGGACACAGTCTCTTGGGTGTAGGCATATACCATGCCTGCTACTTAGCAGAGGGAGGAGTTGCGAAGAGATGTTGGGAGCCCATGGGTAATGATAAGAAGGCACTGACCTTGAAGCTGGCCGGGGCTGGGGGCTTAGGGACTTGGGTGGGGGTCAGATGTTCCATCACTACTTGTCCCTGTGGCTACAGGTTGGGCTGTTCCTCCTTGTGCCTAGGAGCCACTCATCCTCTTTCTGGTGGGTGGTCTGGGCCTCCTGCCATCAGCCACAGCTCACCCTGAGCCCACAAGGCCTGCCACCACCCACACTATCATCCTCAGGCTGAGTCTCTGCAAGGGCAGCCTCAGCCTTGTGGGGCTGGCTCCCCTTATCCCCGTGGCCTCTTTGAAGGACACCCCATGTTGGTTCTCCCCCTCCTTCTACCTCAGCCCATTTGGGAAGATTTATATTTCCCACATAAATTGTACTTTAAAGGAATAATTCATGTGCTTTGTTTGTGATTAATCTAAGAATAATCAGAACAGGGTCATCGAGGCCCACGGAAATGTTGGAATTTTAGCTGAAAACAGATGTTGTTAAGTCAAAGCACCGAGGGCAAGTGGCCCTGTGAATCTTGGACATTTTGAAACAGGAAAATCAACTTATGGACTAAGAATTTTGGGTGGAAATTTCTGGCCTCCAAGCCTTTGGAGTCTCTCTTGGTGCCAGGGGCCTGGATCTCCACTTAGATTTTTAAGAGTATAGGATACATGAGCATTTACTGAGTACTTAATATATCCCAAGCCCTGTGCTGGGTGCTTTGCATGCATCGTTAGCTCTAGTAAATGTCACAATATAGCCAGGGCCTGTGTACTGTAATTAGTACCTGTTTTATAAATGAGGAAACCGAGGCTCAGAGAGGATAGGAACTTGTTCAGTGGCAGACAGCTAAGCAGTGGCAGGGACAGGATTAGAAAGCAGGACTGAACCCTGTGTGTCTCCAGCGTGCTTTCCTGACTCCTCAGCCTTAGGTGAGCCCTGCCCAGCAGCTCTTCTCCAAAGACGCCTCCCTGCTTGAATCAGGCAGAGTCCCCTAGACCTTTGGAAAGTTCAGGAGTCCAACAGCAGAGGCAGTCTCCTATCTGTGTCCCTGAACATAAAACATAGTGCGTGGCCCATGCCCAAGAGGCCACTGGCTAAGGTTTGGCCGTAGCTCTTGCAAGGCATTGACGGTCTATTCATATTTCACCGGTTCCCCAAACCAAACTTGAGGCTGGGCTCATGGTTCTCATTATAGATGAAGCCCCAAAGGATGTGACATCCTCACACAATGACAGGCAAGGAAAGACTAGGACTTTACCTGTCCTATTCATTTACTGTGGGACCAACAGCTTTACTCCTGTCTATCCAATCATTCTCCATCTGTCTGCCTCCTCATCCATCCATCCATCCTCTATCTACCTCTTATCTAACCTTTTATGCATCCTCCTGTCCATATCGATATCTAGCCAGCCTCTGATCCAACCGTCCTTCTTCCTGAGAGATGAGACAAGAGATTAGAAGGGTCAAAGCTTGAAGAGCTTTGTCTGGCAAAGTATGCTTTTCCTGCAGACACTATCCAGTCATTTCCTAGGGAGTGGTCAACCCCTCCACCAGGTGATGAGCTTGTTGATACACGGTTTTCTCCTGGATCCCCAGTCCAGGCCCTGGGCAGGGGAGA